ACATTGTAAAAGCGCTATACAAATAAAGGTGACTTGAATTGAATACTTGTTTAGCCTGCATTGATGCATTCAGTGTAAGCTGGACGATCAACCATTAAAAGATCAGGATCTCAACACCCACGCAACATACATTATAAATGATGCTGATTTGCATATGTTTATTAATCCCTCCCATCGCTGCATTCAAATCTGAAAACGCAAAACTCAAAAGAGAGATTTAGTTTTTAGTCTTTTGAGTTAGTTAAGAAGTTACACAAAGTAAAATAACACAGCAGTACTGGGAGACCAGTTTATAGTTTAGATCAGAGGTTCTCAAACTTTTTTCATTAAGTTACACCTCAGAAAAAAAATTGTCTCTCCAAGTACCACCAAAATGAGCAGTATTGAAATACAGTAGCGTAGTAGGCCCAATAAAGCAGCTACAACTCTGCACAGTTAAAAAACGTGGCAGATTACCTCAGAAATAATATATAATATAATATGCATAATTTTTTGATAAATTTTAAAATGTGTGTAGCATGTACATGACATATTTCATTCCTCCGCGTACCACTAGAAGGAAGCCTGCGTACCACAGTTTGAGAACCACTGGTTTAGATCAAATCACTGATGATCACTTAAAGATTAAAATCACCATCGTTTGCATTTAACATGAAGCTCAAAGATGAAAGCTGTAGGCAGCCATTACATTATTTCACCAGTAGGTGGCGACAAGCAGCCATCAAAAATATGCCACTGAATAATTCTTCAAGAATGATCATCTAGCAGTGAAACATGAAGCTTTATGAGTGAATAACTGAATCATTTATTGGAAATGAGACTGAAAATGAATATGAATTGTACAGTTTATAATGTTGGATTTCTACATTTAGCGTTATCAGCAACAGCAGGAGTAACAGTGAATTTTTCACAGCACTGAATATTGTATTATTTATTTTATTCAGCTGATTATGTCTTCATTTTAGTTTTAATAAAATTTCAGCTTTTAAGTTTTGCTTGTTAAATTCAAAAGTGTCTCACAGTCGATGTTTTTGTACTAAACGAAACGCAAATGACATTTGTCTCCTCGTCTTTTTGGCTGATCCGAAAAATGATTCAATCTGTGACTAAAGAACAATAATGTGATCCGAACCGTGAGATCTACATTTACATTTAGTCATTTAGCAGACGCTTGTATCCAAAGCGACTTACAAATGAGGACAAGGAAGCAATTTACACAACTATAAGAGCAACAATGAATAAGTGCGGTAGGCAAGTTTCACCTATGTAAAGAAAGTGTAAGAAGCAAAGCATTAGTAATTTTTATTTTTTTATTTTTGAGTTAACGGTAGAGACGATAGGCAATTGCAGATTTGTAAGGAAAGTGGAGACTAAATAGTTGAGTTTTCAGTGGTTTCTTGAAGACAGCGAGTGACTCTGCCGTTCTGATGCAGTTAGGGAGTTCATTCCTCCAACTGGGCAGATTGAATGCGAGAGTTCGGGAAAGTGATTTCTTCCCTCTTTGGGATGGAACCACGAGGCGACGTTCATTCACAGAACGCAAGTTTCTGGAGGGCACATACATCTGCAGAAGTGAGAGCAGATAAGAAGGAGCAAAGCCAGAAGTCGCTTTGTAAGCAAACATCAGAGTAGAGATCTGCGCGGGACTAGATTTTGAATCCCGCTCCCGCCCGCACCCGCCAGGTTTTGGCCCGAACCCGACCACTCCCGCTTATATTAAGGATTTATTGTCCCGCTGCCCGACCTGCCCCGTTTTCTGCCCGCCGCGCCCGATCCTGCTAAAGAGCGGGGGAGAACAAAACCAAAAATACCTCAGCTATACAGTCCAGACAGCCAAGCTGTCTGTATAAACACACACACACAGCACCAAGCACACACACACAGACAAATTTCTCTCTCTCTCATACGCGCGCGCGCACTAACACACACACAAGCACCAAGCAGACACACAGGCGTTTGCTGTTATATCAACTCAAAGGCTTGTAATACCATGTATCAAAAGTACCAATGTAATACCAAAAGGTTTTATATAAAGGTATATAAATACTGAGTCGCGCCAGCTCCGGGCCGCAGCGCACATTACTCTCGGGCCGATTCCGGCAGGGATGCGGCAGCGTCGGCTCGCTTACGGCCGCCGCATCTGGCCCGATTGATTCGGGCCGGAATCGGGCAGTGAGTCCACAAGCATCCGGAGTCCGGCAGCCGGAGCCGGGCTGAGTGGTAAGTCTCTGGCAGGCGAGAATCTAGCCGGAACTGGCCCGAGTGTATTCTACTATCTGGGAAAACTCTCTCTCTCATTCGCGCGCGCATTAACATACACACACACACAAGCACCAAGCACACACACAGGCAAAGCTCGCTCGCTCTCTCGCTCTCTCTCTTTCTCTCTCTCTCTCTCATTCGCATAGCAATATCCGCGATATTGCTAGACAGCCCGCTCCCGTCCCAAATTAAACCCGTTACCGACCGCTCCCGCGACTTATTCAGAAATTTATTCCCGCGCCGCAGAAATCTGGTCGGGTCCTGCGGCGCCCGCGGGACAGCCGCGGGAATGCAGACCTCTACATCAGAGCTTTGAATTTGATGCGAGCAGCAACTGGCAGCCAGTGCAAACGGATGAGCAGCGGAGTGACATGTGCTTGTTTAGGTTCATTAAAGACCACTCGTGCTGCTGCATTCTGGAGCAGCTGAAGAGGCTTGATAGAGTTAGCTGGAAGTCCGGCTAGTACAGAGTTGTAGTAATCCAGTTTGGAGAGAACAAGAGCTTGAACAAGGAGTTGAGCTGCATGTTCAGATAGGAAGGGTCGGATCTTTCTGATGTTGTAGAGTGCGAATCTGCAAGATCGAGCAGTTCTAGAGATGTGCTCAGAGAAGTTTAGTTGGTCATCAATCGTTACTCCAAGGCTTTTCACCATTTTGGATGCAGTAATGGTTGCCCCATCTATCTGGATTGAAAAGTTATGGTGTAGAGTCGGGTTGGCAGAAACTTTTGCCAGGTTAAGCTGAAGATGATGATCTTTCATCCAGTGTGAAATGTCTGACAGGCAGGCTGAGATGTGAGATCTGTGATCCATCACACCACAAGTGTCTATGTGTAGTGTCTGCATGCTTGTGTATGTGCATGAGTGAAGCGTGTGTGGATGTGTGTAGTACATGTGTATAGATGTGTGTGTGTTAACCTGAGCGTCCGCAGGCTCCTCTGTGAGTGTGTGAACGCGCCACTGCGGCTGCAGCAGGAGGGAGGGGCTACTGAGCTGTGTGACTCCGCCCCTCGCTGACACTCCCTTAGCTTCTAACACGCCCACATCCTGTCGATCAGCACAGAAATTAAGTTCAAATATAATCACATATTCATCTCCACCTGCCCAAGTGCAGCTAAACAGATTCAGAAATTGTTCACAGTATTTCCTTTAATATTTGTTCTTCTGGAGAAAGTCTTATTTGTTTTATTTCGGCTAGAATAAAAGCAGCTTTTAATGGTTTTAAAGCCATATTAAGGTCAATATTATTCGCCCCCTTCAACAATATTAGTGTTGGATTGTCTCCAGAGCAAACCACTGTTATACAATAGCCGCGTTTCCACTATCGCGCCTAAAGCGAGCGAGCCAGGGTGAGCCAAGGCCAGTGGCGTTTCCACTGTCACTTCTGGGGCCTAATCGGGCCAAAACGGGGCTTTCTTGGGGCCAGCGGTCGGCCTTTTTCGGGCCGCCGAATACCTTGGGCCAAAGAGGGCCAGCCGGGGCTTCGGGGCGGAGTGAAAGGAGAGGCGGGCACAGTTTTCCGATCGCACACGAGTACATGCGCCAAACAAATAAACAAACAAATAAATAAGGGAAAGAAAACATCTGGAACAAATTATAGGCTGGGGTCTTTTTTGCATATGATCGCCCTTATGTTTCTCTTTAAATGTAAAGCTGTTGCATAAAATGATAGTTTTTATAAGTGACTTTTCTTTGCTGCATCTTTGATGTTTCAATAACGCATACTAATCTTTACACCATATTAAAGACACAGCAGACAGTAAAGGTTTTCAAGAAGTTTTGTCAAGTTTAATAAGTGTTTTTGCGCGTTTAGATGCCTGTGTGTGTGTGTGTGAGACCGAGGAAAAGAGCGCTCCATTCATAGCTCTGTTGATGCCGCACGGCTTTTTTCTTTAATTTTTATTGTTTTAATTTATTTCGGTGATAATACACTATATGAATACAACAGTAAGACATTAAACTTTACAAATTTCATGTCCACTTTTGTAGGCTCAAAACAATAGTGTCATATCTAGATAAAATAGCCCTATATTGAAATAATTTAAAGAATTACAAATATCAGATAAGCCTATAATAAAATCACATTAAATAAATAAACCAATATAAAACTAACAAAAGCTATAGCTATAACAATTAGGTACTATATCAAACTGTTTCAAATTTATATTAAACTTTCATTTTTCAAAAGCCTCTTTGAAAAAAAGATTTTAGATATTTTTCTAAAAATAAATAAATAAATAAAAACCTGAGAATGTTTTAAATATTATTTATAAAGTATTTGGATACGAAGATATTAATTAAATTATGCAAACAGAGCATTTTCGGGGTGAGTGAAAGCAGAAATAGGCGACGATTTTTTCTGTCTCCAGCTGCGCAGCACTTTTTTGACGGGGAAAACTGCAAGTTCAAAATGTGTTCTGTGTCCTCAAACAAGTGTGTATGTTTTTATTTAACGTGGTAAAAATAAAAAAGGAAATTTTAAATACATAAAGAGCTTTATTAGTGCATAGCTGCTGAGTGCAACGCAATAAAGGCTATATTTTATTATGTGCTGCTCTTATGTGCTGAAACACTGAACACTTTCCTTTACTTAAGATATAATAAGCAACATCTTTAAATAAAGGGAATCACCTATTAAGTGTCATAAAGCCTATAGGGGGAAAAAAAATCATGTTTCAGTTCTCTCCGGAGCATTTGAGATGAATGTTGGACAGATTCTGTGTAGAGGATGTTATAAAATGCATTTTATATCGAGTTATTAATTGAGAATTTTATTTATGTGGTGTTATATTATGGATGTGTGCGCTCTCTGCGCTGTGTCCCTCCGTTGGTGGCAAGACCACTGGATTTCGATGCCAGTCGGTCGGCGTGTAAATGAATATGATCAATGAAAACACACAGGCATGTGCGTATAGACATGCGTTGTACTGCTGTACAGTAACGTGTCATTTGTTTGTTTTGGTTGTCCTATTTTAATAGTTTCGTGATGATGTGATGGTGTGCTTTATCTGCTTGATTCTCGCTGAAGTGGGCGGTTTGAGTGACGTTCGATTCGGGGGATGTTCTGGGGGCGGGGTTTGCGTGACGTGCTGCGAGCTACTAGCCCCACAGTGGAAACCCGACATGGTTTCCGCCTCACTGCTCAACCTCCCGGGCAATTGGCTCGGCCTGGCCCGATATAAGCCCTGGCTCGCACTGGCCCGATAGTGGAAATGCGGCTATTGACTTGCCTAATTACCCTAACTTTACCCTAATTACCCTAGTGAAGCCTTTACATGTCACTTTAAGCTGAACACTAGTGTCTTGAAGAATATCTAGTCTAATATTACTTACTATCATCATGACAAAGAGAAAATAAATCAGTTATTAGAGACGAGTGTTTTGTGTTTATATAAGTGTTTCTCTGCTAAACAGCACTTGGGAAAAGCTTGAAAAATAATACACATTTCACAGAAGGCGAATAATTGTGTCCACATCTGATTCTTACACATTTACAAGGCAATAAACAGATGAGAGAGAGTGTGTTTTACCTCAGTGTTGAGTGCGATTAATCGATACACACATCCCGGATGAAGAACGGGGAACCAGCGAACACATGACCCCCTGAAGTGAAGCTCAACCTGCAGAATTGATGGCGAATTCAGCATTACGGCTCATATTGAACAATAGTGAACATTTCAGAGTGACAGACAGTAAAACTGAGCACACGTTCACAATCTGGTGCAGAAGCTGATATTACTATGTGAATTTCTAATTCTTGTCAAGTCAATGAGATCTTTATAAAAGTACAATGCACGGCTGACAATGACAGAAGCTTCAGTCATCGTCAGGGACTGCAGTGTTCACATGGACATCAGTCACCGAATGACTTGCCCATATCTGAATGAGACAATTACATGATGAAGGTGTGCGAGTTGCTTTCTGAATGTTCCTATCATAGTCCCCATCATAGACATGTTATAGCACATAGATCCATTAACAAACACATCGACAAAAACACACAAATATACACCACTTTATTAGGTACATCTTACTAGTACCGGGTTGGACCCCTTTTACCTTCAGAACTGCTTTAATCCTTCGTGTCAGAGATTCAACAAGCTACTGGAAATATTCCTCAGAGATTTTGCTCCATATTGTCATGATAGCATCACGCAGCTGCAGATTTGTCGGCTGCACATCCATGATGCCAATCTCCCGTTCCACCACATCCCAAAGCTGCTCAATTGGATTGAGCTCTGGTGACTGTGGAGGCCATTTGAGTGCAGTGAACTCATCGTCATGTTCACCAGTCTGAGATGATTGAGCTTTATGACATGCTGCGTTATTCTGCTGGAAGTAGCCATCAGAAGATGGAGACACTGTGCTCATAAAGGGATGGACATGGTCAGCAGCAATACTCAGGTAGGCTGTGGCGTTGATGCTCAATTGGTACTAATGGACCCAAAGAAAATCTCCCCCACACCATTACACCACCACCACCAGCCTGAACCGCTGATACAAGGCAGGATGATCCATGCTTTCATGTTGTTGAGGCCAAATTCTGACCCGAGCATCTGAATGTGTCAGCAGAAATGGAGACTCATCAGAGCAGCAACGTTTCTCCAATCTTCTATTGTCCAGTTTTGGTGAGTCTGTGTGAATTGTAGCCTCAGTTTCCTGTTCTTAGCTGACAGGAGCGGCACCCGGTGTGCTCTTCTGCTGCTGTAGCCCATCCGCCTCAAGGTTGGCCGTGTTGTGTGTTCAGAGATGCTCTTCTGCAGAGCTCGGTTGTAACGAGTGCTTATTTGAGTTACTGTTGCCTTTCTATCAGCTGGAACCAGTCTGGCCATTCTCCTCTGACCTCTGACCTCATCAACAAGGCATTTGCGCACACAGAACTGCCGCTCACTGGATATTTCCTCTTTGTCGGAGCATTCTTTGTAAACCCTAGAGATGGTTGAGCGTGAAAATCCCAGTAGATCAGCAGTTTCTGAAATACTCAGAGCAGCCCGTCTGGCAGCAACAACCATGCCACGATCAAAGTCTCTTAAATCCCCTTTCTTCCCCATTCTGATGCTCGATATGAACTGCAGCAGATCCTCTTGTCCATGTCTACATGCCTAAATGCAGTGAGCTGCTGCCATGTGATTGGCTGATTAGAAATATGCGTTAGCGAGCAGTTGGACAGGTGTACCTAATAAAGTGGCCATGAGAGTATCATGTTGATTAACCCATTCCTGAGGCCACAACTGGCATTTTTAAAAGCTGAGACGCATTCAGTGTGAAAATGACATACATTTAAACCATGTGGGTGAGTGTGTGCAGGATTCAGTGTGTGTGTGTCATCTGCTGACCGTCTGGCCGCCGCCGTCTCGCTCTCGCTCCTGAATCCTGCAGTTTTTGGGGTCATGGCTCCAGCGCTGGACGCCCCCCACACACACCGCTCTGCACTTGAAGCCCAGCTGCCGTGTGTGTGTGTCTGCGGACACGTTCTGCAGCGTCACGCCATGCTTATTCTCCAATCTGAAGAGCAGACTCACACACACCGCAGAGCTGTCGGCACGCTCACACACTCCAGCGTCAGCCGATCTGAGCCTCTTGGAGGATTCGCCGCAGCTTCTGTGTGTGTGTCCGTGTGTGAGTTTGCTCTCCGCCATTTGATGACTCATGGAGGAAGACGGACTGATGATGATCAGATCATCCATACACAGCTGGAGATATACCCTGAAATACACACACACACACACACACACACACACACACACACACACACACGCACACACACACAAACACACATACATACAAGGCAAAAATAAATACACACACATGCATGCACATACACACAAACATGAATGAACATGCACAAAAATGCAAATACACAAATAAACAAACACACACACACACACACACACACACACACAAACACAAACATGCACAATCACTCACAAATAAACACATACACAAGTTCAAATAAACACACACATCAACACACACAAGCGAACATGCACATGCACACAAATGCAGACACAAAGAAATACACAAACACACACACACACACACAAACATGTACACAGACACAAATAAATGCACAAACACACACAAACAGACAGAAACATGCACAAAAACACACAAATAAACAATATCAAATAAACACAAATAAAAAAAAACACACACAAACACACACACAAGCGAACATGCACACAAATGCAAAGACACAAAGAAATGCACAAAAAAACAAACACACACACACACACACACACACACAACAAACCGAAAGATGCACATGCACAAAAACCCAGACACAATTAAACACACACAAGCACAAACAAAAACATGCACACAAATTAACACACAAACACAAATAAATACACGCACACAAACATGAACACGAAGACACAAATAAATGCACACACACACACACAGACACACACTCACACACACACACACATGAACAAACAGACAGAAACATGCACAAAAACACACAAATAAACACAAATAAACAAACACACAAAAACACACACACACAAACGAACATGCACACAAATGCAAAAACACAAACAAATACACAAATAAACAAACACACACACGAACATGTACACAAAGACACAAATAAATGCACAAACACACACACACACAAACAGAAACATGCACAAAAACACACAAATAAACAAATTCAAATAAACACAAATAAAAAACACACATACACACAAACACACACACAAGCGAACATGCACATGCACACAAATGCAAAGACGCAAAGAAATGCACAAATAAACAAACACACACACACACACAACAAACTGAAAGATGCACATGCACAAAAACCCAGACACAATTAAACGCACACAAGCACAAACAAAAACATGCACACAAATTAACACACAAACACAAATAAATACACAAACACAAACATGAACAAACAGACAGAAACATGCACAAAAACACACAAATAAACACAAATAAACAAACACATACAAACACACACACACACAAACAAACGAACATGCACATGCACAAAAACCCAGACACAATTAAACACACACAAGCACAAACAACAGCATGCACAAACACACAAATTAACACACAAACACAAATAAACCCACACACACACGCAAGCAAGCGCACACACACACACAAACATGAACACGAAGAAACAAATAAATGCACAAACACACACACACACAAACAGACAGAAACATGCACAAACATGCAGACAGACACATGCATTGCCGAGTCTGCTCTGGTGGACAGTAGCAGACTCTAAAATGAGACGCAGATTCAGAGTTCCACATGAGATTATTAATGAGCAAATAATATAAATATTACGAGTGTAAACATTAGGTGAGCATGTCACATTTTAACCCCGTGTCCTAACAACACGCTACATGACGAGATACACAGTTATGAGCAGTTTAGCTGTTTGCACCAGACGAAACAGGACAGAAATGTAAACACAGCCATTCAGCAGCACAGAATAGTGCACTCACTGCACTCCAGCACAATGGTCAGCTTTATAATCTAATGAACACATATTAAAGCTCCTTAACATGATTAAATGTAGATGCTGAATCACTGATATGTGTTGGTTTGCTCAGTTCTGAAGTTCAGTTTCAGACGCTTTGTTTTATTTCCCAGATCTGAGCTGAACTATCTGCTGCTGCTGTCAGTAGTACAACAATAAATGTCCTGTAAAGACTCACATTATCAGCATTTAACACTGAATAAAGCACATGAGCTGTAGCTGAGCTGATCACTGTCAGTTTTCTGTTGTTCATCTGTGAGAAACAGACACCGTTTCTAATATATACATTTCAGGTGTTGGTTAGAATAAAAACTTTTTTTAATATGGAGAATATTCCTTCTATCGCGTGCCAATGCTTTATTTACAACACAACTTAATTCAGCCTTTAGGCTCGATAGTCAGGCACACTCGCGCTAATCTGGCAACCTGCACTTGTGTGCATTCATCACAAGAGGAGCTGAGTGAAAACTTGTTTTGAACCAGGCGTGCAATACCTAGTTCAACCACTGGGTGTCAAACTTACACACTGCACCTTTAAGAACAACATTATGTGTTCATTAGCAGATTAAACATTATTAATCTCGATTAATTAGACTTTAAATCAGAATCAATCCTTAATTGCTCATTTATTATGTTATTTTAGTCAGGTTTAGAGGCAGGATGGTGGCGCAGTGGGTAGCACATTTGCCTTACAGCAAGAAGGTCACTGGTTCAAGTCCCAGACATTTCTGTGTGGAGTTTGCATGTTCTCCCCGTGTTGGCTTGGGTTTCCTCCGGGTGCTCCGGTTTCCCCCACAGTCCAAACGCATGCGCTATAGGGGAACTGATCAACTAAATTGGCCGTAGTGTATGAGTGTGTTTGTGTTTGTGTGTGTGTGAATGAGTGTGTATGGGTGTTTCCCAGCACTGGGTTGCAGCTAGAAGGGCATATGCTGTGTAAAACATATGCTGGATAAGTTGGCGGTTCATTCCGCTGTGGCGACCCCTGATAAATAAGGGACTAAGCCGAAAATGAATGAATGAATGGTCAGGTTTATGTAAAGCAGTGTGTGTATGAAACGTACATGAGTGTGTGTGTGTGTGTGTTTGTACCTGCAGTGTTTGAGTGTGATGTAACTCGGCTGATCCAGGTGTTTCCAGGAAGGGAAGTTTGTCTTCATGAACCTCTCCATGACTAAAGTACAGCGGCGCACACACACAAGACAGCCTGCACACACACACACATACACACACACACACACGCGCATGCACCCAGACAGAGATGCACACAATAAATGCACGTGATCGCACACACAAAGGGAAAAACAGACACAAAAGATATGCACACATACACACAGACAGACAAACACATATAGTACACACAACCACAAGCATACACACTCACACACAAGACATGTGCGCGCACGCACACACACAAGCAGATGTACACACATGCACAAACACCCACGCATATAGATGCATGCACAGAAAAAACATGCACAAACACAAACACACACACACACACACACACACACAGATGTTGTGGTCTCTTTGCACATACAGGCAGTGGAGTGTGTGTGTGTGTGTGCTCACCCTGCCAGGCCGTGCTGATGTTGGGGCTGTGGTCTCTGCACACACACAGGCAGTGGAGTTTGTGTGTGTGGTCGCGCAGCTGCAGTGTTGCGCTCTCCGCCTGCAGCTCAAGCACCCCCAGCAGCAGCAGCGGGTCAGGGGACGCCTCCTCCAGCCGGAGCTCCACACTGGACCAGCGCAGCGCAGAATTCAGCTCCAGCGCCGTCATGTGGGGCGCAGACGCAGACAGGAGAGCCGGCAGAGACAGAGACGACCACACCTCACGCTGCATCCACACACACAGCTGCTGCACCGACCACAGAGCAGCACTCGGCCACCGCACACAATACTGACACACACACACACACACACACACACACACACACACACACAAATACAGTAGTTATTATTATTTATTATTATTATTATGAAAACAGGCAAGAAACAAGACATGCTGTGATAGCCCTGCCCTAAAGGACTGACAACTCCTCCCTAAAGAACTGATAGCCCCGCCCTAAAGGACTTATAGTCCTGCCCTAAAGGACTGATAGCCCCACCCTAAAGGACTGATAGCCCCGCCCTAAAGGACTGATAACTCCGCCTTTAAGGATTGATAGCCCGTCCTAAGGGACTAATAACTCCACCCTAAAGGACTGATAGCCCCACCCTAAAGGACTGATATCCCCGCCCTAAAGGACTGATAGCCCCACCCAAAAGGACTAATAGCCCCACCCTAAAGAACTGATAACTCCGTCCTTGCCCGTCCTAAAGGACTGATAACTCCGTCCTATAGGACTGATAACTCCGCCCTAAAGACTGATAGCCCCGCCCTAAAAGACTGATAGCCCCGCCCAAAAGGACTGATAGCTCAATCCTAAAGGACTGATAGCTTCACCCTAAAAACTGATAGCCCCTCCCTAAAGGACTGATATCTCCGCCCTTAAAGACTGATTGCTCCACCCTAAAGGACTGATAGCCCCACCCAAAAGGACTGATAGCTCCACCCTAAAGGACTGATAGCTGCACCCTAAAGGACTGATAGCTCCACCCTAAAGGACTGATAGCCCCGCCCTAAAGGACCGATAGCCCCACCCAAAAGGACCGATAGCCCCACCCAAAAGGACCGATAGCCACACCTAAATGACTGACAGCCCCACCCTGAAGGACTGATAGCCCCGCCCTAAAGGACTGATAGCTCCGCCCTAAAGGACTGATAGCTCCGCCCTAAAGGACTGATAGCCCCGCCCTAAAGGACTGATAGCCCCGCCCTAAAAGAGTGATATCCCCACAAAAAAAGACTGATAGCTCCACCCTAAAGGACTGATAGCTCCACCCTAAAGAACTGATAACTCCACCCTAAAGAACTGATAGCTCCACCCTAAAGGACTGATAGCCCGCCCTATAGGACTGATAGACCCACCCAAAAGGACTGATAGCTCCACCCTAAAGAACTGATAGCCCCTTCCAAAAGGACTGATAGCCCCGCCTAAATGACTGACGGCTCCGCCCTGAAGGACTGATAGCCCCACCCTAAAGGACTGATAGCAAGTGTGTTACCATCGTAATAGGACAGTGGTGTGTGTTACTATAATTATAGGTTATTTGATAGTGGTGTGTGTGTGTGTGTGTGTGTGTGTGTGTGTGTGTGTGTGTGTGTGTGTGTGTGAGAGAGTGGGTGTGTGTGTGTGTGTGTGTGTGTGTGTGTGTGTGTGAGTGGGTGTTACCATGCTAATAGGGCAGTGGTGTGGCTCCTGAATCATCTCTGTGTAAATGTTTCTCTTCTTCTTCGTCTTCTGTTCAGCGTCACACACAACGTCCAACAGCCGTCCAGCAACTACACACACACGGTCAGGTCGCACCCACCGCGGACTCAACCTGACAGACACACACAATTTAAAAGTGTGATAGCAGGTAAACAGGTTTTGACCTCCTCGTGTTGCCATCATCATAGTGTGATGAACAATACCATATCTGAGGGGTTTTTAAACTGTGGAGCGAGAATCTGAGGCGTGCACTAGAGTAAATTATGATGACGATTTTTATGCGTTCACTAGAGTGAATCTGATTAATGTCAGCTCCACAGCTAACTACCAGGCACCTGTAGAGTTTATGCGTTCCAGTAAAACACACAAATGAAATGGACTGAGCGCTTTTTAAAAATGAATGATGGTGAATGAATAAAGTTCAAAATGGTGAGTGTCTGAAAAAAAGACATACTGACTATGTTTACATGGACATCAGTTATTTGCAGGCCCGGCTCCAGCTTGGAACCTTAGGGTGGGCCAAGTGACATTTGAGGTGGGCCAAAAAAGTACACACAGACATACATACACACATACTGTATATATATATATATTACTTCTGAAAGTAGGATGTTTCTTTTCCGGACAGAGCCGGGTGACATAATCCGCAGCCCATTGGTTCTTTTCTTTATTGACATTGGGCTGACCCAATCACAAACTTCCATGTTGGGCTCTGTGTAACGTAGGTGTGTATTTGTCAAAATAGCCGAGAGTCCCGCCTGTTTCTTACGCGCAGGTTCGGGCTGTGGGAAAGCAGGCTTTAGCATCTGCACTCTGCAGCGGGGCACAGATCATATACTCCTGTCTATTCTATCTAGTTACCTATCTGTCCATATACATATACTTTTTTAAACTTATAATCTGCACCACAGCCGCGGCAACTTCCTCCTATAATGCTGTTTCCTTTACCTGCAAGTCTTTATTTTACAAATGATAAAGAATGTCTGCTTCTCACGCTCTATGAGGGGTCATTCATGTATTTTAAGATGCAGTCGGTCAGAAGACAAGCGCAGGAGATATCATGACATTGTGTTTTTGATCATCAGCATGATGTAGGCTTATGGTGACAATAATATTTATACAATATGGTTAATATAATGATATTTATACATGACCAAACTAGTGTGCAACTTAAGCAACTTTTTTTACATTTAATTTTGTAGCTCTGCCCAAACAAATATTTGTTGCATTTTTTAATTGTTTAAGTTCATTTGATTGACAATGTAAAAGCTGTTAGCCACATTTGATGTTTCATTGTTGAGTTAAACATTTTTTTAGGGTCTCTGATACATTGCTTTTATTATTTATCTTTATTTTATTAATCGACATTAACTGTGTGCGTCAGCAGGCAGTTTTTGTTATGTTCATTATTTATTAGGCTCCCTCAAAACACACAGGCACCCACATTTCCAGTGTGGATTATAATTTTATTTCAATAATAAATAAATAAAGTAGTTTTTTTAATTTGTCAACTCTCGTTATTTCCTATATATGGCTTTTGTGCTTTTATAGAATGGGAGTTGGTAAACCTATTCAAGGGCATGCACAGATTTTCAATACTTTATTATTATTATAATTATAATTTTCCATATCTGCAATGCCTGTATTTTGGCATTTTTTTGCAGTCCACTTAGAATCCAACATGGAAATCAATGTTTTCTTTATTGTCATTGATTGTTTTGAAATTCAAATGTCATTAACACGCCTGTGTTTTTATTTCTGTTATAAATATGACTGTCAAGCAGGATCCTGATGGTTTATTGTGGGTTTGTTGTTTACATGAAGAAATCTGTGTTACAAGTTAAACAAAAATTCTTATAATGAATTATATTTTGAATTTAAATAGTTTTTGTCTTGCGTTTACATTAATTTTACACTCGAATAGCCAAAATGACAAGTTTTAGTCTTTTAAATGTGATTAATCGCGATTAATTTTTTTTAGAAGGCCGATTAATTTTTATTTTCGTACTAATAGACAGCACTAATATATGTATATATATATATATATATATATATATATATATAGACACACACACACACACACACACACAGACACACACAATGCTAGTGTGTATTGTTCCTGTGTGTGTTGTATCCTCTATTATCTGTCTCTTTCTCTCTCTCCACATGAGCGGAGATCAGGTGCAGCAGTGAAAGTGGGGCCCCCGTTATAAAAGCACGCCGTTGGTGATGTTTATCGAGTTCTCTTCCTGTTTCCACTCGCTGTTGTGTGTGTCAGCGGATCGCTCTAAGTTCTCTGTGTGGCAGTCATATCTTTCTGTCTACAACCCTGTTTCAAAGTCATCTGGTGAGATACTCTGTTAAATACGGTACTAGGACGGTATTCTGTGTTAGCTGTGGCTAAATGTTAACTTACTGCTGAATGATCTAAGGGAAGGCTCGTTTTCTTTTGTCCCGTTTTCTCCTGTTTAATGGATAGTTATGGAAGTCGAATTGTTTGTTTCATTTACGGAACTTTCTTTTCGGTTTAGGTAAGCAATGTAATATTAGGTAGCGTACCTTGTTTTGTTGTTTTTGTTCCCTGGTTCTGACACTGGAATATTTGTTTAATAAATCTGTTACCCCTTTTTTGACAACTTGGCGTGTGTGTGTGTGCTTGGTGAACAGGAACAGGGACTTCGGGTGACCTCTTTTAGCAGCGGTCATCCTTAACCTTATGTGCGTATCGCGGTGCATCCGCTACGTAACACCCTGAATGAAGCTCCTACTTTACTACATCCAATCAGCTCACAGTAGAAAAAACAAGCCACGCCCACTGTTATTTCATTTATTATTCTGTTTCTCTAGGAACTGCGTCACAATACGTAAGAAAACGGTGGCAGTGTGGACTGTAACATTGTAAAAGCAGTAGTTATAGTGTGTTTGTGCTGACCTCTCTGCGATGGCCTTCTGACAGTAGCAGAGCCACAGATACTGCGACGGCCCCAGATTCCTCTCCAGCAGGAGGCGCTGCAGGGCCCCGTGAGGCTCCGTAACCTGCAGCTCCGAACACAGGCGGCTGAAGGCTGTGATCTGAACACTGGAGCGCAAACACGCCCACAGAACCGCCCGCGGAGCAAACGCCGATGCCTGATACGTGAAGTGGACGTTGTGAAGCTGAAGAACAACAAAAAAAAAAAGTTTACTCAACACTTGTGTGCTGTGTAACGACTATGGCAGATCAGACACATAATTATTTTGCTTTTATTCAACAATTAACACACCATCAGCTTCTCTTACCCAGAAGAGACCGGATGTTCAGTGTGTAATACAACTCCAAGGTATTTACGACATGAAGGAATGCTCAGAAATGGACACACACACCGTCAAACTTCTATACGCTCTGCTTAAGACTTTACATTACTTTTAATGTAAACTTTTATTCTCCCTTTATGTGTAATCAGGTGTTTTGCAACAAGTCTTTTGCTCATGTATTAATATTATGGTTTTAATAGTTCTGCAAACCATGTTTAACTCTACCATAGAAAATATGATCATATCACCCCAATGTTATCCTCCTTACACTGACTATCTGTTAAGTGTCGTATTGATTTTTAAAATATTGCCTCTTACCTAAAAAGTATTAAATAATCTAGATTCTGTTTATCTAACCAACCTTGTCTAGCTACAATCCAACTCGCTCTTTAAGATCTTAAAACTCAGGGCTTCTGGTAGTGCCTAGAATAGCAAAGTCCACTAAAGGAGGTCGAGCCTTCTCATTTATGGCTCCTAAACTCTGGAATAGCCTTCCTGATAATGTCCGAGGCTCAGACACACTCTCTCAGTTCAACACTAGATTAAAGACCCTATCTGTTTAGTAAAGCACACACTCAGTGCATCACTTAGCGGTTGGATAAATGAATGTGCTCCACACAGGTTTCTGCATCTCATTTACATACACTATGAACAGCAGCTACGCTAATTATTCTCTTTATTCTCTATTTACACCTGCGGATACTCATCCCGAGACCCTCAGACTATGCAGTGCCACTGATGCGATCCAAGACCAGCAACAAGATGATCCCAAGGTTTCTATAATCCTGGACCAGGCCGTATCCTGAGCAGCTGCTGTGGTGGTCATGGAGGAGTGGAGAGCATGAGACTGATTCCTGTGATGCTCCAGGGACAGACGAGTCTTCACTGACGTCCAGCGTTCTCCAGCCTCCGGCGCCTAGACTGCAGCTCTGCACAAGACGTTTGGCCATAGGAGAAACGGTTGTGCCCAACTGAACCTGGTTTCTCTCGCGGTTCCTTTACTTTGGCCAATTGGTGAAGTTTTTTGTAGAGCTGCGCATTGATGGATTTGCTCTTCAGTGTTTGGACTCTCAGCAGTGACAAGTAAACCACACTAAACTGAACTGAACTTAACTCTGAAAACTGAACTACACTGTTTCAGCTCACTATGATCTTCTATGTGAAGCTGCTTTGACACAATATACATTGTAAAGGCGCTATAAAATTTACATTTACATTTAGTCATTTAGCAGACGCTTTTATCCAAAGCAACTTACAAATGAGGACACGGAAGCAATTTACACAACTATAAGAGCAACAATGAATAAGTGCTGTAGGCAAATTTCAGGTGTGTAAAGTGTAAGAAGCAAAACATTAGTCTTTTTTTTTATGTAGTTAGTGGTGGAGCCAGAGAGGCAATCGCAGATTAGGAAGGAAAGTGGAGACTAAGGGCTCTATTTTGACGGTCCATGCGCAGAGCGTAAAACGCAGGGCGCAAACGCTTTCAGGGCATGTCAGAACGCATTTTTGCTAATTTAAGGACGGGAAATCTGCCTTGCGCTGCGGCGCATGGTCTAACAGTGTTGAGTTTGTTTTCTTAATGAGTTATAGGTGTGTTTTGAGATAAACCAATTAGAGTCTCATCTCCCATTCCCTTTAGGAGGTAACAGAAAACTGTTAAACAGAGCATCTACTGCGTGAGAATGAGAGATAATGGATCTACTTTCACTTTCACTCTTGGATAGGGAAACTTTACGCACAGACATCCATTAGCCTATAAATAATTAATTTAGTTTGTTAAGCGTAAAGATTTATTTCAAAGCTATTTCTAAATTCAGTTCTAATTTCCAGCAAACGAATAAATGAACAATAATAATGAAGTGTGCTCAAAAACCTGAGTTATATCCTAAAACACATGCTGTGCCCCATATGCTCTAAAACCTGCAGGTGGACAAATCTAAGCTTGTTTTTAATAAAACAAATATAAATATGGATATAATAAATATTACTGCTAATAATAATAACATTATACAAAAGCAGATTGTTATGAATGAACTGAAAAAGCCTCCCGAGATGAAGAAGACATAAAAGCAGTGATTTTTCATATTTATGTAGGCTAGAAAATAATATGTTTTGTAATATTTTAATCCTTTATATTTATATTCTATATCTATTCTTATTATATCCTATATATATCCTTAATATTTAAATGTTTTCATATGTAAAGATATTTGCCTATTGCTGTCTTGTGTGTATTAAGCAGTGTGTAAGTGAGGTGCAACTCTGCGCTGGAGTTTAGACCGGGTTAGTTTTGGTCTAATGAAAAATCTATTATAGTTTCTCAAAATAGCAACGCGCCAGCGGTCTGCCTCAGAACACCTCCTTTTTAGACCAGACCACCTATGGGCGCACATATGAGCGCTAATGCATTTGCTATTTAAACAGCGTAGCGCAACGCCTCAAAACCACTCTTACGCCAAGCTGAAACTAGCTAAAGACTATTGCGCCGCGCCGCACCTTGCACCACACTACGCCGGGTGTATGATAGGGCCCTATATAGTTGAGTTTTTAGTCGTTTCTTGAAGACAGCGAGTGACTCTGCAACACGCGTAGCTGTGCATTTATACTTCTGCGCGCTGTTTCTGTTGGTCTGCATTAACACTTCCAAAACGCTAGTTGTCAGTAAGGTGTTAATGTTCCTCTGTGTCGAGTTTCTTCTCTGGTGTTTTGTCTTTTCTGATCGCTTCCTTAATTTACAAGTGGCTCAAACTCGCTCATTTTGAGGCCGGACGGACGTGCAACAACTTTAACCATGAGGTAAACACAAAACAAAACTTTCCATCCGGAGCTCCTTTAAGGGACTCCACACTTGTAAACAATCTCTCCATCGGGGTCGGGCAGCTATCTGTCCCACCCAGACTCGTCAGTGCTACCAAGCCGACCAATCACAGAGCTTGTGTTACACGTCGTTGGTTTGAAATATAAATGTTAAAACTAGCTAGAGTGAATAAAACTTTAGTTAGAGTTTGTGATTCAGAGACATGCTGATTCTAGCGGCGATGACATAATCACACTCACCTGAATCTCCGCCCCCGGTCTCAAGCCACCGCCCCATTTCTGAGTAGGCTGATAGGCCAGACAAAGCCCCACCTGTCCGTCAAGCTCATAAAGCCCCGCCTCTGCGTTCAAGATCTTTGTGACGGTACCCTGTCAATCAGATAACATAGATTTGACAGATTACACGAGCTGGAATCACTGGTCAGATGCACCAGCAGCCCACTGACTACACATCTGCTGATTATAAGGGAGTAATGCAAAAGGAAATGCATAATTTAAAAATAAACAGACCATTATTGTTTGTCAGTGTGGATGCAAATATCATTGTTGTGAGCAGGGGTTACACCATGTCCTGACTACACATCCTGCGAAATGTTTTTGTTGTAACCATCAGCAACAGCGGCACCATATTTATTTATTTGTTGTATTCAATGGTTTTACATGTTAAGTCAATGCAAACGCGCGAATAGACATCCTGCAGTGCGATACGCGCGAATGGCGCGGCGCGAATGACGCAAATTGCGCGAATAGCACGGGGCGAATTGAGCGGTTTGCGCGTTTGACGCACTTAACGAGCGTTTCGCGCGAATCTCTCGATTTCGAAAATCTGAACTTCAGTGTAAATTCGTGCCGCGTTAACCAATCAGATGCTTGCTCTTGTGGGGGCGTGATTGTGACGTAGACTTATTGTCGGTGTTCCGAGGGAAATCCTCCAGCCTTCACCGACAACAGTTCATCAAACTGGGCTTGGCTCAGTCAGAAGCACTGCTGAAAGCCTCCGTCATCCAGGTTCAGTTTCTGGAGGAGTTTATGAGCTCACAGAGCTGGATGCACCTCTGAAAGGATGTAGTGGACTCAGACAAGACCCTAAACGTATCGATGCTGTTTTTCAGTCTTCATAAAGCACATAAACACTGTTATTTTCTTCAGAAAATCCATGTTAGCCATTTCGCTATGAAGCTAGAGCCCTGCCCATAGCGCGAATCCGCGTCTGTTCTAAAGTGAATTTGACATGCGAATGAAGCGGATTTGACGCGCGTATGAAGCGAGTAAACTCAAATGTTCACGCTGCTATTTACGCGCAAATAGCGTGATTTATCCGCGCGTTCCGTGTCTGGTGTGAACACAGCATCAGTCTTTTTTGTGTTCAATATATGTAAACCCATATTTCACATATTCAGGGTCATATTTGCGCTTCAACATATTTGTTGCTATATTTAAATGAAATTTCACATGTCGAATGGTACGGTTGTCGTGCACGCATTTCAAAATAAAAGTCAAAATAAGTTATAAATTAAACCCACTAAAAATGTTTCCGTGGCCCACTTTTGGGTCACGACCCACCAGTTGAGAAACACTGCTTTAAACATTATTTTCTAGCTTCATTTTAAGATGCTGATTAGGCTATTAAACCATTAAACAATTTATCCTAATTTGCTGCTTATTAATAGTAAACAAGGCAGTAGTTGGGTTTAGTTAATGGGTAGGATTAGAGATTTACAATAAGATCATACTTTAGTAGTGCTAATGATAACCACTTGTTAAAGTTTGATTTGCCACTTATATTAAAGTGTTATAATTTCTCTCTTTCATGCAAGTTTTATTCCAACAGCCCATACCTACCAACACTCCCGCTTTTCCGGAGAGTCTCCCGTATTTCAGACCCATCTCCCGCCCTTCTCCCGTATTGTTCTGTCTCCTGGGAAAACTCGCGGAAGCACTATGGAGGACTTGTTAGTTTTTACTGTAATGAATTTATAATAAAATGTAAAGAATACTGTATTAGCTAAAATAACGCAATGTTTTCTAATAATTTTTAAACATTATTCAAGTTAGAAAACTAGCCGCTGAGACTATATTTACCTCCAGCCCACTAGCCTCAATCAAGTTTGGTTTTTGGCCCTTTTAAGAAAAAGTTTGGGCACCCCTGTTTTAGAAGACAAATATAACACGAAACAACTTTTACCAAACATTCTTTCACATCTCCTGTGGTTCAAGTTCAAGTTATTTATATAGCACGTTTCCACAAGGCTGCACAAAGTGCTTTACAGAGAAAAAATAAACAAATGATATGAGCATGAAAACAGTAACACCAATAGACACATAATAGGAGGAACATAAAGAGTGCAACAATGAAAAGAGCAAAAAATAAATTAAATAGAAGTTTTGCCTAATTAAAAGATGCTACAACAGTTGACCAAACTAAACAAGATTACCCAGTTAAACTCTGCTGCCATTTTGGGATTTTCACCTGGATTTTGCCTAGCTAAATTAAAAAACTTAGGTGGTGTAAATGCAAAAATTTGGTATAATTTTAACGAAAACCCTTTGAATTTTCATAAAACACTACTGAAAGTGTGTAAAATATCTGTATATGTTGTCTGTTATAACAAACACCTAATAAAGAGGCGCTTTTTGTATTTTTTTTTTTAATAAACTCAAATGTGAAAGTGTCTCTTTTAGGTTGTGTGTGGTCTAGCGTGCTGTAATTAATGTTGGTGGCTCCTGCACATGTCTGTAATCATAGGACAAAAGAAAAATGTCTCCACCATAATCTATGCCAGTGGTTCCCAACCTTTTTCTCTGGGGCCCCCCCCATGAACTTATACAAACATTGGAGCCCCCCCACCATATAAATACACAGGCACGCACACACATATGTACCATATATATATATATATATATATATATATATATATATATATATATTACTGTATGTGTGTGTTTATGTGTATTTAGATAGGCTTTGTCATACTGTCTAATCTTTTTCTTCGCCTCTGAAGAATCATTACATTGACGTTTGTCTGCCATTTTTTTTTTGATTTTGCCTTTACAAGAAGTTGGACAAGCACATTGCGCAAGTGAGCAAAATGTAAAAAAATATTTAGAGTTATTTATTTTAATTATTTTTACTATTATGTTGGAATTTTAAACATGTGTTTTGATTTTTTTTTTTTTTTTTTGGTAGTTAAAAATACATATATTCCTGAGAATTCTTTTTAAGAAATATTTCCCAAATTATGTTTAACAGAACAAGGAATTTAACAGTATTTTCTCTAATATTTGTTTTTCTTCTAGGCTTATTTGTTTTATTTTAGCTAGAATAAAAGCAGGTTTAAATATTTTGAAACCTATTTTAAGATCAATATTAATAGCCCCCTTAAGCAATATATATTTTTGATTGTCTGCAGAAGAAACTACTGTTATACAATGACTTGCCTAATTACTCTAATTAAGCCTTTGAATTGCACTTAAATTTGAATGCTTATATTTTGAAAAATATCTAGTAAAATATTATGTGCTGTCATCATAGCAAAGATAAAATAAATCAGTAATTAGAAATGAGATATCAAAACTATTATGTTCAGAAATAAGTAAAAAATAAAAACTTCTTTCCATTAAACAGAAATTGGCCAGGAAAAGGGTTGCTAATATACAGGAGGGCTAATAATTCTGACTTCAAGTGTATACATAGTTATTTTCCACCCTGCAAAGGAAAGAGAAATAAATACAATAGAATAAAAATATAAAACAAACTGTGCTTTAAGCATCTCCACTGTAAGAAAAACACTTTAGCTACAAAAATCCTTCTGTCAAGAGCAGAGAAACATTTTCTCGTTATGTTTGATTAATGATAATAAAAACAGGCGGCAGCAGGAATATTTTGCGCTGTCTCTTTAATGGTTTCTCTTTCACGTCTTTTGATCCTCAACTCGTTTGTTTATTACACAAATGAGGGTTAATATAAATAATCACTAAACACCGCGTTTTGACACCTATTTGACCATTAAAGCGCTCACGTTAAAATGACTAGATGTCTGCGCTCCTCTGCTCGTCTCAGTGTGTGAATGAGAGTGAATGCTGACCGGCCGCATACTATTGACTGCGTGATCGTGCTGCACACACACATAAGCACGCGGTCTTTCGCAACACATACAACTGGAAAGGGGGCGGTATATGATGCATATAATTGTTTATCTTGATTAATGCTTTTTTATAATCGTTTGAAATCGAAATCGGATTTTGGATTAATTGTACAGCCCTGTATAATAGTGGACCATTTTATGCCTTTTTCTACCTCAACACTTATCCTCTCCCGCGCCCCCCTTGTGAACTCTGGCGCCCCCCTTAGGGGGGCGCGGACCCCAGGTTGGGAACCACTGATCTATGCAGAAGTTATTGTATTCCAACTGATGAGAGGTGCTGTACAAGCCACAGGGAGCGATCATTGCTTTCATATTTCACTATTCTTTTGTTTGATCAAACATAATTCACTGTGTTTGGAGCACGTCAGACATTTAAAAGGATTACTTATGCAAATCAGCTCAAAAACAGAGGAGAATGGCCCTGAAGCACACAGCATAAGGTGAGAGATGACAGCTGTCTGTGCTATCTGGGGCTGCTTATTGATCATGAATGTATTGTTTTCACTTCTGCGCCATGGAAACACCACGATTCATTTAACAACTGTTTAATATGTGAATATAATTCAGTATAAATAATGCTAGAACCGTATGAGCACCGGCAAGAGCTTTCATTTGAGCTATAACTTCTACATGTGTCATGTGAAAAAATATGAAAATGAAAACAATGTTAAATACCCAGCTCGGGTATCCAAAATACTGTGTATTTAAGTGTAAATAACTTTTGTACAGTAGAATAAAAACCAAAGTGATGCATATGTGCATAAAATATAGATTCTACACTTTCAAATGAAACCACTTACGGGGGTCTGGTGCAATGCTAGCCCTTTAAATCTGAAAGCGAAAGTCGATGACGGTACCGGGTCGGCAGAGTTTAACTGGTTAACAACGTTTTGATTTCCCACCATGCACACCATGAATACCCCACATAATTAATAAACAGAAAGCCTCACCTTAAAGCTGATGATGGTGGATGGTTTCACTCTGACTGCCGGATCTGACGCCAAGCGTGTGTCGTCTGCAGGTGTGCGTGTGGCATCTGCAAGTGTGTGTGTGGTGTCTGCAGGAGTGTGCGTGTCGTCTTCAGTGTCCTGCTCCTCTGAGCTTTCCTGCAGTGGTGTGTGTGGATGCAGGCGTGATTGACAGCTGTCAGTCAACACGCGACGTCCCTCCAGCGCCCCCAGCGAACACACACGCAGAGACGAGATCCACACACTCTGGCCGACACACACACACTGCCTCCAGTATTGATGCTTCAGCTCCTGAGACACACACACACACACACACACACACACAAACACACAAACACACACACACACACACACACACACACACACACACACACACACACACACACACACACACACACACACACACACACACACACACACACACAGACCTTTATAAAGACTTGGATATCTACTAATGTTACTTTTAGACAAACACAGCTGGTTATTTATCAGGGTTTCTGCAGTTATCTTAATGTCAAATTTAAGACCTTTTTAAGACCAGTAAGTATTAAATTTAAGACCTATATCGCAATATCAAAAAATATGAAAAATGAAAAAAAAATCCCAAAATTAGTGGTGAAATAAATGTATTTAAATTAAACAGCACTAAAGACATGTTAGATGCACCACTGAACTACAGCAAAAACAAACAAACAAACATCTTAATGCTGATTTACACTTTTACCTGGCGCCGCATCGCGCACCTCACGAAACAGTCGAGGCTTTTATACTTGATGCGTTCGCCATTGAGGTATTTTTTAAATGACTGAAGAGACAGACAGTAAAATCAGACGAATAAAAAGATCATCATTAATATCATTGAAGATGTTTTTGTGGGCCTCTTGTTTTAAAGGGCACATAGGTTACCCCTATTTTCATATTTACTTTAACAGATTCATGTCCAGCAGTGTGTGCAGGGCCGGTGAGCGCTCCGTGTACCTTTTGCTCACTCAGTTATGTTATAAAATGTATTTTCTTGTGATAACGGGTGTGGCGAGGGACGTGGCCGAGAGCCGTGGGAACGGGGTGAGGCCACCGCGTGAGTGGATACACGTGCGGTGCGCACCTGCCTCGGATCCCACAGAAGGAGCTCTGGACCATAAAAGGAGGACCGATGGCAGAGGAAGCCGAGAGAGGACCGGGCCCGGGCATGTTATTTTACTTTTACTTTCAGTTTGACGGCAGTCTCCGCGAGGAGCTGCCGTCCGTTTGTTTTGATTTAAATGGCAGTCTCCGTGAGGAGCTGCCGTCATTATTTTTAATAAATCATTTTAAAGCTCCGTCGGTTCTCCGCCTCCTTCTTCCCGGCGGCCAAAGGGCCGTAAACTTCATTACAATGGGATTTCGTTGAGACATATTTTCCTCACGCTTGCATATATGTATTAATCTTTTTTTTGCTTGTTAGTTTGACTAGTGATGATTTCAAATACAATAAATATATTTGTATAAAACTTGTAGTAACGGTGCTTATAATGGGGTATATGCCGAGCTAGTGCTGTTCTCATGCTGATACACTTCCGGTGAGCTGTTATTGGGAACTTTTTCCCACTTTATACGGTTCCTTATACAGCATCGATGTTGTAATTTAATTAAAATACATTCAGTTAAATAAACTTTAGCATTTATTTAGTTGCTCAAGCGTAAAGCGAGACAAAAAGCCGTTTACTCGCAGGCGCCCGTCAGAATCGACAGACTAACGCAGAAGCTCCATTGAATATACTGGGGTAAAATAAATGCTCGTATTATAAAGACATGGCGGTGGAAATGTAATTTAATGCAGGGCTTCTTGTACAATCTGAGACCCACTTTATATCAGATATCACTCAGCCAGTGGAGATCGCTGATTTTTAAAGAAAACAGACCTTAAACGCACCTGATTTTGCGTTGGCATTCAATTAGCCGGAAGCGCTTAACCCAGGTTAATGGCAAATTAAAAGTCCTATTAGCATGCTTCGGCATATACCCCATTGGTGGGTGCGACTAAATTTTGGCTGATGCGCCTTAATTTTTTTAAAGTTAGGAGCACCGGTGCTACCAAGCAAAAAGGTTAATTTCGAGCCCTGATACATCCATATATTTTACAGTCTATAGACCTTTTTCATGACTGCTGCATGGAGGGCGCCATAGCGACCAGCGTCTTCCGGTCAATGCTAAAAACTTCCGTGTACAGCGTGTACAACTGGTAATTTGCGCTCCGAAAATGGGTTTCAATGACGTTTTTAATGAATAACAGAGTGTTTTTGTGACACACAACTTATAAATGTGTCTGTTAAAGCCGTAATAATCTGTCACATGTGGTTCAAGCGCGTCAGAAATACGAGAAAAACGTTCTCCTAGTTCACGTGTCTGCCGTCAGAAATAACGTACAGTGTGTGTGTGCGATCCCGGCCTGTCAGCTGTTAGCTCAGCGGCTCTTTAACACGCACACAGAGAGAGAGAGAGAGAGAGAGAGAGAGAGAGAGAGAGAGAGAGCAAACCAGAGTACTGGCATGAAACTTAACAGGTATGAAAGTCGTGCAATTTACAAAAATGAGCAATAAAAGTCTGTTATTAATCCTCTGCTGCTGATTTGCTGTTCATTCTAATCGCGAGCCGTTTGTGTTTTATTTCGTGAGTTGTATTCACCACGGGTTTGTGTTTTTCTGTCATATGTCTCAGGGCAGAGCCAGAGACATACACATATATCTATGATCGGGAGTTTTCCTGGATGTTAGTATTTTTTTTTTTTAATAATGAAAATTATAATTTTACATCACTTTTCTACATTGATGGATCACTAATCGCACGGGCATTCCTGACAAAAAGCTTGTGTTTGTGTGTACAGAAATGTACTATTCACCCTCCCTGTTAAGTTTGATCTAATCATGTGCTGAAACACAGCTCCTCTCCTGCTTTCACTGCTCATACTGACGGAGGGAGCGATTCGTTTGTGAATGAATCATTCATCGTGACTCGTTCACTAGCCGACAATAATACAAGTTTCTGGCAGCGCAGCATCTCGTTGTCATATTTCTTTTGCATTGTTTGCTGATTTTATTCAACAAAACTAGCATAAGCCGAGTGTTTAGTGCGAGTTGGAGCTGCTTTGCCTTATTTTTTAATTGCCTTATTTTATTTTTTGCCTTACTTTGCCCAGTAAGTGACTGTTATCATCAATAACGTGACCTGATTAACACAAATTTCAGAACATACAAAAATGTAAAAAACTTAATATTACCTATGAAATGTTCTGCCTTTGTGCTTTGTTTTCTTTGTTTGCTCGTTACTGCACCCGTAGACAGCGCTTAAGTCCCGCATCTTCACGTAATAACACTGTCTTGACTAGTGCAGTTGAATGACATTTGTCCTGGGAGCACTGTACCAATATGGCGGCGCTATTGACGCATGCTCAGGTCCCTATACAATATCTACTGTATATATCTATGTCACAAATTGAGGAGCGGGGAAAGGAAGTGGAGTGGGGCGACAACGCGGGGAATCCTTCCCAAACTGAGGAGCGATCACAAACCGAAAGCGACGAGAGCGTCAAAGTAGCCAGAAACAGCGGCGCGTCTTCATTGGCTATGACGCGGTTCGGCGGCAAGCAATCAGAATAAAGTAGTCCACCGCTTGAGAGGAGTTCAGAGAACACCTGTGAACTTTGGTTCCGACCACAATTGTTCCCAAGAGTTTGATTATTGCGGTTCCTGGATTTTCAATTATTGAAAATCGCGACGACGTGGGGCCCCCTAATCACGCGGGGCCCCCCCCCCGGTGCGTGCCCTGTGGGCCCATCCGCTACGCCACTGAGCAGACCGTTTACACATGAGCAGCCAGTGTTTTGAGTGCACGCGAGAAGTTTTGTCCACGAATAGAGGAAACCATCGCATGAGCAAAGACATTCGCTCTCTCGTATTACATGAATGCGCTCCTGACTTGTAATACTGCGCTTACGACATTTGACAGTGATATAACGCCATACTCTGCCAGCCGAAATCATGTGGCACGCAACCACAGCGAACCACTGCAGACACAGCGATGACGTCACATTCGCTGCGCGCACAGAGATCGGCTATTGTAAGCTGACCTTTTTTTGTAGTTGTAATACCGCAAATTACACTTGGACTATTGAAATAAAGAACTACAACACCCCAAAAGCCAAGCAACAACAACAAAAAAGAATTTAAAATGAGCATTAGATGTAAAGTTACATAGAAATCGGAAAAATAAGACCTGTGCAAAAATATTTAAGACCTAAAACAGCGAGTTTAAGAGTTTTTAAGGCCTTAAATTTTAGACTTTTAAATTTTAGACTATTTAAGACCCCGCGGAAACCCTGTATAGAAATCATATAATAAAACTGAAATTTACACAATTACAATGTATTTTTATATTTGCAGATGTTCATATTTTAACTGATTATTCATTAATATGTAAATCTGCCTGTTTTCTATGTTGTTTAAATGATTTATTTGAATTTAATGTACTGTATTGCTTTGAGACTCACCCTGATGATGAGCGCCACTGACGACCCTCCGTCACTCAGGACGAGGCAGAAGAAGCGTTTCCCACGAATCAACAGCAGAGGACCGACAACACACACCTGCCCACCCACACACACACACACCTGATCCTCACAGCTGACACACACACACAGACACACACAGTCATTATTCCTCTAATCACAACAGAGTCTTAACACACACACACACACACAAAAACACACATGCACAGACAGAAACAGACATATATATATACACACACACACACACACACACACACAAAAACACACATGCACAGACAGAAACAGACATATACATACACACACACACACACACACACACACACACACACACACACACACACACACACACAAAAACACACATGCACAGACAGAAACAGACATATATATATACACACACACACACACACACACACACACACACAAAAACACACATGCACAGACAGAAACAGACATATACATACACACACACACACACACACACACACACAAAAACACACACGCACAGACAGAAACAGACATACACACACACACACACACACAAAAACACACATGCACAGACAGAAACAGACATATACACACACACACCTGATCCTCACAGCTGACACACACACACACACACACACACGCATACAAGCACAGACACAATTATATACAGTAAAAAAACACACACACACACACACACACGCACAGACAGAAACAGACATACACACACACATACATACATACAAAAACACACACGCATACAAGCACAGACACACATATATACAGTACAAAAGTACAAACACACACACACACACACACACACACACACACAAACAGACATACACACACACACACACACACACATATGGACACACACACATGCACAGACACATACACACATGCGCGCGCGCACACACACACACACACACACACACACACACACACACACACACACACACAGACATACACACACACACACACATACACACAGACATACACATATATGGACACACACACATGCACAGACAGAAACAGACATACACACATGCGCACGCTCACACACACACACACAAAGAAACAGACACAGACACACACACACACAAAGGGACAAACACATACATATACATGCACACACACACATGCACAGACATGCAGACACACGTGCACACACACACACACACACACACAGACAGAGAGACAAAAAAAGGCACAGAGAGACAGACAGACAGACAGACAGACAAGACACACACGTACTTTGTATATACATGCGCGCGCACACACAAACACAGACATGCACACAGACATCCAGACAGACACAGACACACAAATTTACACATGTGCACACAGAGACACACATATACACATACATACACACACATTTATACACATGCGCACACACACACACACACACACACACTGTATATACACATATGTATGCACACCCCCCCACACACACACACACACAAATAGATATGCACACACACAAAGAGACACACATACACACACACACTCTTCACCTGTGTGCAAGCAGCTCAGCTGCGTGTCTCACACTCATGACCTCAGTCAGAGCTCCGCCAGGGTCAAAGGTCATGGCCTCCAGGGTTACACATACTGGAGGGTCCACCAGCTCCAGGTAACCTGCTGCTCCAGGTGCATTCTGGGGGATGTAGTTCCATGTGGGAAACAGCATCAGCCTCCCCAGCCAGAGACAGGAGGACTTCAGCATCTGAACACACACACACACACACACACACTGTGAAGATGACACAAGGTCCCTGACCCACCAACTGGTTCAGTTGGTGTTTCTATGTGGAGTTTGCATGTTCTCTCTGAGTTGGCGTGGGTTTCCTCTGGGTGCTCCGGTTTCCCCCACAGTCCAAAAACCTGCACTATAGGGGAATTGATGAACTAAATTGGCTGTAGTGTATGAGTGTGTGAATGAGAGTGTATGGGTGTTTCCCAGTACTGGGTTGCAACTGGAATGGCATTCGCTGTGTAAAACATATGCTGGAATAGTCGGTGGTTCATTCTGCTGTGGCGACCCCTGATTAATGAAGAGACTAAGCTGAAGGAAAATGAATAGAGTTATTAGAATGTAGATTTATTCATGCTTACATCAACAAGCCCCGCCCCCACCTGATGATGTTTCTACATTATTATTGTTATTTACCATACACGGGACGCTCCCTCCAGCGTCTCTCACTCGCCACTCTCCCTCACTCTTCCCATCGGCCCGTCCGTCACACAGAAAGCCAATCAGAAGCAGGTTGTCCCGTGGAAGTGCTTTATAATTGGGCAGTGTTTGCTCCGCCTTCTTGGCCTGGTCCCGGTAATGGGCGGAGCTCCAGCAAAGGCTGCTGCAGCAAGCAGTTCGCTGATCTCGAATCAGCTCTGACACAGACACAATCCTGACGACAAAAACATGAATACACATATTTGAATATTCATGAGGACACAAACCTGACCGGAAATACATGAATACACATATTTGAATATTCATGAGGACATAAACATGACCGGAAATACATGAATACACTTATTTGAAAATTCATGAGGACATAAACCTGACTGGAAATCAATGAATACACATATTTGAATATTCATGAGGACACAAACCTGACCGGAAATACATGAATACACTTATTTGAATATTCATGAGGACATAAACCTGACTGAAAATCAATGAATACACTTATTTGAATATTCATGAGGATACAAACCTGACCGGAAATCAATAAATACACATATTTGAATATTTATGAGGACATAAACCTGACCGGAAATACATGAATACACTTATTTGAATATTCATGAGGACATAAACCTGACCGGAAATACATGAATACACTTATTTGAATATTCATGAGGACATAAACCTGACCGGAAATACATGAATACACTTATTTGAATATTCATGAGGACATAAACCTGACCGGAAATCAATAAATACACTTATTTGAAAATTCATGAGGACATAAACCTGACTGGAAATCAATGAATACACATATTTGAATATTCATGAGGACACAAACCTGACCGGAAATACATGAATACACTTATTTGAATATTCATGAGGACATAAACCTGACTGAAAATCAATGAATACACTTATTTGAATATTCATGAGGATACAAACCTGACCGGAAATCAATAAATACACATATTTGAATATTTATGAGGACATAAACCTGACCGGAAATACATGAATACACTTATTTGAATATTCATGAGGACATAAACCTGACCGGAAATACATGAATACACTTATTTGAATATTCATGAGGACATAAACCTGACCGGAAATCAATAAATACACTTATTTGAATATTCATGAGGACATAAACCTGACCGGAAATACATGAACACACATATTTGAATATTCATGAGCACACAAACCTGACCGGAAATACATGAATACACTTATTTGAATATTCATGAGGACATAAACCTGACCGGAAATACATGAATACACATATTTGAATATTCATGAGCACACAAACCTGACCGAAAATACATGAATACACTTATTTGAATATTCATGAGCACACAAACCTGACCGGAAATACATGAATACACATATTTGAATATTCATGAGGACATAAACCTGACCAGAAATACATGAATACACTTATTTGAATATTTATGAGGACATAAACCTGACCAGAAATACATGAATACACTTATTTGAATATTTATGAGAACACAAACCTGACTGGAAATCAATGAATACACTTATTTGAATATTCATGAGCACACAAACCTGACCAGAAATACATGAATACACATATTTGAATATTCATGAGGACATAAACCTGACCAGAAATACATGAATACACTTATTTGAATATTTATGAGAACACAAACCTGACTGGAAATCAATGAATACACTTATTTGAATATTCATGAGCACACAAACCTGACCGGAAATACATGAATACACTTATTTGAATATTCATGACCTGACCGGAAATACATGAATACACATATTTGAATATTCATGAGCACACAAACCTGGCCGGAAATACATGGATACACTTATTTGAATATTCATAAAAGTTCATAAGAGTTAAGAAGTGCTTGAGTGTGAGTAAATGATGATTCGGCTGTTTAAATAGATGCTGGTGGTGGTCAGACTCACCTGTAGCTCACAGGTAAATCAGCGCAGTCTGACCCGACGGCTCTCTGAACCTTCTCCACCACAGACTGAGCCAGACGAGCCACGGAGAAACCATCAGAGTCCAGGAGTGGGGAAAACTGCTGCTGCACCGCCTCAAACACTGCAGAGAGCCAGCGCTGATCCTGAACACACACACACACACATCAGTAGGGTTGTGCAATATGACGACACACAGTGGGTAAAATAAGCATTGCACACATTTCATTGTGTTTCCGGGGAGTAATATTGGTAACGAAGCTATTAACATGGAATTGATGCAGATTTTGGTAAAACCATCTGAATGAGTTGTGTGTAATCACAGTGAAACGACAGAAGGAGAAAGAGCTGCTGAACTGTGTTTAATATTTTATATAAAACGCTGTTTCTCTTATATGGAGAATGAAGACACATGCATTGCTCAGGTGTGAGTTTCTCACAGACTTCAACAGAGTGTGTAAATCTTGATGCTTCTGCGGGTCTCGTCTATCAAATCTGAGCTTTATCCTGTATTCCCTATTGGATTCGGGTCAGGTGATTGGCTGGGCCATTCTTCAGCTTGATTTTCTTTCTCTGAAAGCACCAAGAGTCTCCTCGGCTGTGTTTTGGATCATTGTCTGGCTGAAATGTCCACCCTGGGTTCATCTTCATCCTCCTGCTGATGTAGATGTCGGACTGAAGCAGCTGATCTTCATCTACACTGAGGAAGGGCAGAGGCTTGCTGAAGAACTACTGAGAGATTTCAGCTGCTTTCACTGTGAACAATGTTGTACTTTGATAGTCATTTGCTGCTCATATGATTTTCCTATTTACAATTTGCAATGACTACTTTTCTGAAATTATATTATTAAGGGGAATGTCTGAATATCCGAAAACCAACTTTACCTCTATGTTGTCTCTCTGTAGAACATATGTGATGGGACAGATGTGAAATTGACACTTGTGTGACTTTGGTATATCAAATAAAATAGTTTAAAAACATCAACAGAAAGATTTATGAGTATTTCACAGTACTGTCAAACACAAGCCTACACTAACAACTTAGAAAGGGTTTAGCTGTTTTGCTGGAAACTTTATTTTTTCTGTTGCAAGTTTGACATTTGAATTGAATTACTCATATATAAATCAAGTTCAAACCTAAATTTGCATAAAAATAAGTGTTATTTAACTTTTCAATCAGCAAAGTAGTAAGAAAATACATCTAAATACATGCTATTATATATAAACAACTTTCTTCCAACAAAATCTGCCGTTTGAATGCTGCAAATCACAGAAGCAGAAGATAAACACAGGACAAATTGTATATTCTGTCAATTCTAAGCCTGAACTCGAGGGGGAAAAGCTTAAAACAAACGCAAAGATGTGTGTGATAATTGGACAAACGATTATAGAACAGTGTCGATATCGAGCTAACAAAGAAAACAGAAAGTAAAGTAATATACCGCTCTGCTGTAGCTTTTAAAGTTGTTTAGAAACTCCTCCATCCGTCAACACTTGCACGGGGTATCGATATGACTGTCACCTTCATTAATGAGCGAATATTAGTGTAAATATTGTGTTCAGATTGTGTTCGGCGCTCTTCTTCTTCTTCTTTTGATTTTAACGGCAGCTGGCAGCCTGTTTTGTTGCATTACTGCCCCCTTCTGTACTATTTTCCTTTTAGTCTATTCTTTTTTCCAGTGCAGTTTCGCTTAGGAAACACTTCCTTCCTTTGATGCTTATTTCTGCATTTCATAAACTTATCAGTTGAGTTACCATTTATTGTCTTTCTTGTATAAATTTACCTTAGGTATATACACTAGATATCGCATAGGGACCTGAGCATGCGTCAATAGCGCCGCCATATTGGTACAGTGCTCCCGGGACAAATGTCATTCAACTGCACTAGTCAAGACAGTGTTATTACGTGAAGATGCGGGACTTTAGCGCTGTCTACGGGTGTAGTAACGAGCAAACAAAGAAAACAAAGCTCAAAGGCAGAACATTTCATAGGTAAGATTAGGTTTTTTACATTTTTGTATGTTCTGAACTTTTGTGCTAATCAGGTAGCGTTATTGATGATAACAGTCACTTACTGCATTCACCATACGGCAAAGCAGCTCCAACTCGCACTAAACACTCGGCTTATGCTAGTTTTGTTGAATAAAATCAGCAAACAATGCAAAAGAAATATGACAACGAGATGCTGCGCTGCCAGAAACGTGTATTACTGTCGGCTAGTGAACGAGTCGTTCATAACGGAGATTCATTCACAAACAAACCGCTCCCTCCGTCAGTATGAGAAGTGAAAGCAGTAGCTTTTTGTCAGGAATGCCGTGCGGTCACTGATTCATCAATGTAGAAGAGTGATGTAAAATTATAATTTTTCTAATTTAAAAATATGCATACTAACATCCGGGAAAACTCCTGATCATAGATATATGTGTAATTCTCTGGCTTTGGATGGCCACAGTCCTCCACTGTACCTTGGTCCCACATTCATTTCAAAGGAGCGCTACCCTGTACCAAAATGGCGGCTCTATTGACGCATTCCCTCCAATAGACAACAACTGGGAAGACGACATCTAATGTATATAGCCTATCTAAGCAAATGTACTACATGACATCAATAGACAGTGCCGCTGCTGGTGCCCTATACGAAATTGTACTGTGTTGCCCCCCCAGAGGAACAAAATCACACAAACATTTAAACGTGTATTTATTTATTTATATGCATAAATATGCATAATGCATATAAACACTCAATTTATACTTAAACGTTAAAATATTTACATGATAAAATAATAGTTTACATGAAAAAACACTGACATGTCTTCTGCAGAAAAAATCCTAATTTCAAACATTTACAAAAGGTAAGAAATAAAACCCTGTCTGCACCTGTAGATTGACAGTCCTCAGTGCTGCATCCTGTACCTGCGCAGCTGCTGGTGTCTCTGGAGCAGTGCTGGTCAGGCCACCTCATCTTCTTTTGTGACAAATTTCAGCATTGACTTCCATGAACAAGACAGAAGAAATTACGAATTTAAAGAAAAACGTATAACATACCATTAAAACAACGGGCGAGTCCAGCACTCTTCATAATGTTTACAAACTACAAACAAAATGTAGATTTAATTTGCTTTGTAATCTATGGTGACAAAAGCTGAGCCATTCTTTCAGTATGAATCAAAGACATTTGTGGTTTTTAGGAATTAATGAGTGTATTTTTAAACAAAAAACTTTGTTAACATTTAGAAAAAAATAATCATTAATGAATTTTAAATATCATAATGCTCACATACAATTTTAAAGACAAAAAAGGTAAATTTATATAAATTATATATATATATATATATATATATATATATATATATATATATATATATATATATATATATATATATATATATATATATATATATCTGATAATAACCATGCTCTCAATCTTATTGTTAATTTTTTTGAGTTACACTGTGAATGTTTTATACACAAAAATAACTTCCTAAAGGCAATATCTAGATTTAATGCTTTCCTTACTGTTCAGGATTAAGCTTAATAATAATAATAAGGATAATAAGTTTCTTAAAGCTGCACGGTGGTGCAGTGGGTAGCACAATCGCCTCACAGCAAAAAGGTTGCTGGTTTGAGCCTCGGCTGGCTCAGTTGGCATTTCTGTGTGGAGTTTGCATGTTCTCCCCGTGTTAGCGTGGGTTTCCTCCGGGTGCTCCGGTTTCAGTCCAAACACATGCGCTATAGGGGAACTCTAAATTCTCCGTAGTGTATGTGTGTGAATGAGTGCGTTGGATGTTTCCCAGTGATGGGTTGCAGCTGGAAGGGCATCTGCTGCTTAAAACATATGCTGGATAAGTTGGCGGTTCATTCAACTGTGGTGACCCCGGATTAAAAGGGGCTAAGCCGAAAATAAAATGAATGAATGAATTCATTTCAATGTATTTTTGCCCAACCCATTATTATGGAAAATGGCATCTCTCTGTTATGTTGATCAACTGTAATTTTAATAATGCCAAAAGTTTCAAAAACATTACAGCAGTTTTGTAAGTACTCTCCAGAAAAGTCCATCATTGTGTTTTATGATATAGTTCAACTTCACACTGTGTGTTATTGTGGGTTTTTTTTTTTACAGTTGCTCAAAACATTCAGTTCAGTCAAAGAGCATAGAATCCCCAAGAGGCGACACTCTAGTGCAATTTTGGTAAACAGCCACTAGATGGCTATTTTGGTATGAAAACTCCAATAAAACAGCAGCATGTTATAAGTATGTAAAATAAACTATTAAAAGTGCTGATGATTGTGATAGACAGTGTTTTATTGTCGTCTTTCAGGTTGTATTTCAGCTTTAATGCGCTTTTTAAATAAAATAAAAAAACAAAGCAGCTGCTGGTCATCGCGACAGCAGTAAGATCCAATGGACAGCCGATCGCTTTCACTCCGAAATGGCGGAATCCGGGCTGTGGCTGGGCGCTGCTGTTGCAATGGAACATTCTATTGAGTGTCGCCTCTTGGTCATTCTAAGCTCTTTGGTTCAGTTTACAAACATTCGAAACACACCGAGGGTCCCTGTCAGCCAATCAGCTCTGTGGATTCCTAAAGAGCGCTCGCTGATTGGACGACCCCGTTTTCGAGCTGAACCAATAAGCCGCCGATTCCGAGTGGACGACGTTTATGCGGCTGCGTGTGACGCGCACACACACGAAGCACAACTGATCACGTGGTAGACACAATACACGGAGGACAGGCGCGCTGATCTGCAGAGAATAAAGACGAGGTTTGCTGCTTTTATTATTATTATACACTTTGAGCCATTTAAACGGGGAATGTGTTAGTTTAGACTTATGCGGTGCTGTAATATCAAACGCGGGATATACTGAGGAAACCGGGAAAGGAGTTTAACGAGGGTTTTTGTGGCCCTCAGAGTGCGCGCGTTTGTGTGTGTGCCGTGCAGAGCACCGGAGCCGTTAAACGGTTTTAACGGGAATTCGGCGTTTTAACGGGGCCCATTTGACGCCATCATTGAGTGAATAAAACCGTATTTCTAAAAGATGTACCGTGTTTTGACCGGAGATGGCGGAGCGCGAACACAGGGAATTAGGCGGGAAGAGAAAATGGAGGAATCTTTGTTCAACAAAAGCCTCCAACCGAGAAACAGCACGAGCGCCTAGAAACCGGCGATTTAGATCATTTATATGGGCCCACACTTCAGTATTATTTATGTAAATGCGTTTTAGGATTCAGTATTAAGTACAAGTATTTATTTGCTGATTAAAATCTCAGTCAGAGCAGTGATTTCAGTACTATTTCAATATATTTGTATTTAATTGTTGGTTAACGTTAGTTAATGTTGCTTACACAGGATTTCATTTATCATCTTTAAATATTATGTTTAGCAACTGTTTAAAACTATAAGCTAATTATCTTATTTATAAGATATTTCGTACAAATATGTTGCTATAGAAGCTTGTTTTCACCTAAGAAATGTAAATACGTCTCAATCATATATATATATATATATATATATATATATATATATATATATATATATATATATATATATATATATATATTTACATGTATATATTTATTTACATGTATAATTTAGAGAACTATTAACATTTCTGAGGTGAAAACAAGATTCTATAACTACATATTTGTATGAAATCTTGTGTATAATTTTTTTTTTAAATCCCCAGAGTTGTAACTCCATATACTCTCTGATATACTCTTCATATACTCTCTGAAGGTACAATTTTGAAAAGGAAAAATATCTGTTACAAAATATGAAAGTAAGGATAGTTAGAAAATGTAGACTAGTTTTATTTTTAGTAGTTTTTATATATATATATATATATATATATATACACACACACACACACACACACACATATATAGAATATATATATAGTCAAAAAAAGCTTTCATAATTACTGGCAAAATTACAAATTTGAAATGCCAAGTTCAAATATTCTAACAGTGTGTAATGTAAATTTTAGCATTATTATTAGGAAATATGATTACTGTTTGACTCGTTTTCTCTGTAGTTTAACCCTTGTTTTCTGCTAGTTGATCAGCCATGGTGAAAGGAGACGTGAACAAACCCAAGGGGAAGACGTCGGCGTATGCGTTCTTCGTGCAGACATGTCGCGATGAACACAAACGCAAGAGTCCCGACGTGCCCGTCAACTTCTCTGAGTTCTCCAAGAAGTGCTCTGAGAGATGGAAGGTGAGCAGTGGGAAAAGTATTATCACAAGTCATCTCATATATCCTGATAACGGTATATATTAATTTCTATTAATTTTTTATGTCTATTAAGCACATGTTATAATACCTTATTTTTTTCCTTTTCATTTTAAAGTATATGCTGATATATGTGATCATATTTCTCCCTTTATGTAGAACTTAAAGGCAAATAAAGCTAATTTTGATTTAAAAAATGTGGAAATAATAATTAATAAAACAAAAGAAATGTAAACATTGTGTTTTCAAGATTTACATTTCTGTCTGCATCCCCATATTAGTGTGTAATATTGTGCTCGTATAAATTATGAAAAACTATTATAAAGTGTTTTATGGCACCACAAAATAAAGTATAATATTAAATTAACCTCTATTTTTGTCTGTATAATTATATTGCACGGCTCCTCATCACAATGAACCAAACTCTGAACGTCTTTCTTTTGCAGTCTCTGAACGCCTCCGACAAGGTCAAGTTTGAGGACATGGCCAAAGCGGATAAAGTTCGCTATGATCGGGAGATGAAGACGTACGTGCCGCCCAAGGGTGTGGGAAAGACTGGCAGGAAGAAGAAGGACCCGAATGCCCCTAAACGCCCACCGTGAGTTTCCGATAAGCCCCGCACAGTGACTCTAATGTGTGTCTGAGTGACTCTAATATTGTGGTGTTGTTTTCTCTCTGCACAGATCTGCATTCTTCGTCTTCTGCTCGGAGTATCGGCCCACAGTGAAGAGCGAACACCCCAATCTGACCATCGGAGAAATTGCCAAGAAACTGGGAGAGTTGTGGTCAAAGCAGAGCAGCAAAGACCGCGCACCGTTCGAGCAGAAGGCTGGTAAACTGCGCGAGAAGTATGAAAAGGTAAACCGTTTGTTCACATTTGTATGTAAAAACACTATAAGAAGGCTTCAGATGCCAAACACCTTTTGAAATTTTTCCTCAGGCTCCTGTTTATATTGAGTTATTTCACTTTAAAAGCAATAAAAATAACCTATTAATCGTAATAAATGTGAAATTACTGAGCCAACACAAGTCATCATATTTTAAAAAGTTTGTAATTTTTGCCAATTTTTATACAAAAATTATATTATAAAGTATTTTAGCTAAAAACCAAAGGTTTTATGATTTAACTAGCTGAAAATTCAGCATTTAAAGTATATCACAAATATTATAATTTAATTAACTATACTATACATCAGTATTGTGTTGTGATATGTAAAAAAAAAACATCACAATACAATATTGAAAGGTTTTTTCAATACAAGTGTTGGGTTTAGGACAACAGATGAAAGGTTTTGAGACGCTTCAAATGTTACATAACATGCCTTTTAGATGCTAGTAAAAAGGGTGCATCTATTAAATCAAATACACAACATTTTGCATGTAAATAACTGCATTTGACTGTGATGGAAATCTTAAAGAATTAAATTGTCATTCTCTCACCTGTGACTTGTTCCAAACCGGAACCCATTTATTGTTCTGTTGAACTCAAAAGAAAATATTTTGAAGAATGTTGGAAACCGGTAAAAACACATTCTGTAAAAGTTTCCAACATTCTTCAAAATATCATCTGTGTTCAACAGAAAACAGGTTTCCAGCATCTTCAAAATATGGCCTTTTGTGTTTAACAGAACACATAATTCTCAAACTAGTTTAAAACAACTGTAGGGTGAGTAAATGACACAATTACATGTTTTGGGGAGAAATGATGATCATTTTAGCTCATGTTTATTTGATCGTGTGGGCGGGTCTAATGTCTGAATGCTCTTGATTTACAGGAGGTGGCAGCATATCGTGCAGGAGGCGGAGCCTCTAAGAGGGGGCCGGGCCGACCGACGGGTTCAGTTAAGAAAAGCCAAGCGGAGGCAGATGATGACGATGATGAAGACGAGGATGAGGAGGACGAGGAAGATGATGAGGAAGAGGAGGATGAAGATGACGAGTAGAGCGTGACTTAGCTCCACTGAGCGGCGGTTATCGGGGGGTTTTCACTATGTACATGTTTAACAATACAGCAATAAAAAAAAGTTTGTTTTTGTTTGTTTCTTTTTAGACTTGTTGTTATTTTTGTACACGCCTAGCGGTTGATTGTAGACATTCTTCTTTTTTTATAATAAAATTTTAATTGGTTTGATACTGCTGCTTTATTTGTGGTGTTATTAACTGGAGATTTTAGTAGGGCCGGCCTAAATGACAAGTCTCATCCTGATATAACTGATATAAGTGTTCATATTTTCCCTTTATGTTAAACTTCTGGCCAAATGTTTGAGTTTAAAGAATTTAGAAATATAAAGTGTGTAAAAACATAAATATAAAAGTAAAACAATTCTAATACAGGCTGGCTGTGGGATATTAAATGTGTTATTAGCATTTAAAACCTTTTTAAAGGGCCTTAAATTTATTTTATTTTACATTACATATATGACATTTTTTGGATCATTTGATTATACAATATGTAAATGTGTGCTAAAGTTAACCTGAATTTAATCTGTGAATGTTGGATGCTGCATAGCTGAAAAAATCAACACATTCCTACTGTAAGTTAAAATATGGCCAGTGTTACTGGTTAAAACCTAAAGTGGTCTTAAAATATCCAGAAAGAGTTTTCTATTTCTGTATTTACATTAATAATTGCAGTCCCATAATAAGATGCAGCCAAAATTAAAGTTAAACTTGACCTTGAAGATCGCAACCTTCTCACCTCCATTATTCCAACACAATCTCACAGCAATTCGTACACTTTGATTTAGTGGCTAATTCATATGAATTCGTACGATCTAATTCGTACAATTTAGTACGACTTGCTCATCTCCCAATGACGGTGGGGTTAGGTGGCACACGGTTTTAAAACCGTACAATTTCGTACGACTGAACTTGAACTACGAATGCGTACGAATTAGCCACTAAACTGGCAAAACAACAAATACTTCCTTTTTCTCGTGAGATCAGGCTGGTTATTCATGTGTCTGCATTCAGATTATGGTCATCCAAATAATAAAGTAATACCCTAAACCAGGGGTCACCAATCTCGTTCCTGGAGATCCGGTGCTCTGCAGGGTTCAGCTCCAACTTGCCTCAACACACCTGCCTGGATGTTTTAAGTATATCTTGTAAGACCTTGATTAGCTTGTTCAGGTGTGTTTGATCAGGGTTGGAGCTAAAATCTGCAGGACACCGGACGGCCAGGAACAAGTTTGATGACCCTGGCCCTAAACAGTATATTAAGCAATGCCAAACAATAGCATATTATAAAATGAATAGCCCTAAGATATCTATCTATCTATATATATATATATATATATATATATATATATATATATATATATAGTGTCATAATGCATAGCCCTAGTCACAGGTTTTCTGTGAGTCTTGGCAAGATGTAAATTCAGATGATCATGGCATTATGATCATGCCTTCAGTATTAATCATGCTCAAGAATAAGCTGTATTACTGTAATTTGGAAGAAATGCAGATATTGTTTTATGTTTGTGGCATGCACTGTGTATATAACATGACAATCCACAGTTCTAATACGTGTGTGAGTGTGAAGCCACTGCTTAGGCCTGTCACAATAATCAATATACGAACATCACACAACACACGGACATGAGCTCAATCATTTTTGATGATCGATATATATCACTCGTACATAATAAAAAATCAACTCTATCAACATTTCAGCTGATTGAGCAGCATCTCTGATGTCAGTATGGGTAAAACCACTAATATTTACAGTAAATGACTAGTATATTCTCATGTGGGTGTCTAACAGCAGATCTGCTAGCGGATATCACAGCCTCTGTTACTCCACCTTGCACTTTTTCTATTATTCATTTATTATCATTATTAAAGATATGCGTTTTCACATTCTGACCCCAATACCTGATTTTTAAACTTAAAATGGCCGTAATTAAATGGAATATTCTTAAGAATTCAAATATGATGTGCTCTTTTGAAGAGTGTACGTGCATTGTGGTGATATATTGTCATTCTGCCATTATATAATGATGAGTGGCCTCATAAAATGACAATAATATCATTTATCGTGATATATTTGGGTGAAATGCATCATACAACAAAATAGATATCATGACACGTCTGCTGCGCCTACCAATATGCAATATTTCAGCTACACACACTCGACACAACTTAGTGGCGCCATCTAGTGACAGTATTTGGAGAATTATGTAAATTAGAGGCAATTTTGTAAGTGTAACGGAGGCCCTCACTAGAGGTCAGAAACCTCACTTCTCTGAACTCTAAAGGTGCTCTAGGCCATGGTCTTTAGACTCCTTGTTAGAGCAACCGACTCCCATGCAGAAGGTTTCCGGTTCGATACCAGCTTGGAGCGGGTTGGGTGACGTAGGACCGCCAGGGTTACATTGGTGCTGTGACCCGGATGGGAGTGAGGTTTAGGGGGGTGAGTGTAGCTAAGGTCAGCTAGTGAGTGTTGTGCAGGTAAACCTCACTCCTCTGACCTCTAAACAGGGCCGGAGTGGGACTCCTTTTCAGCCCTGGAGTTTCAAGCCTCAGGCCGGCCCACCTCAGTACACGACTGACTATATTAAAATAAGGTTATTTCCAAATCAGTTTGTAATGACACTATCACGTCTTTTTTTTTTAGAAAACAGCTGCTTTAGAACTTTAAATGTTCAACAACCCTAACAGTATTATGTCTTAACAATAAAAATGAAAACAATAAGGTACTCATACATGGATCGAACCCGGGTCCGCGGCGTCTTAATCCAACGTGCTAACCGCTGGACCACAATAACTGTGTTCAATGAGGAGACAAAACTAAGTTTCATAATCATTAAAATAAATGAAAAGAGAAGAGTTGTAAATAATGCGGTAAAATAATGAATAAAAAGGCTGTGGTCAAGTAAATAAATAAATTGAAAAAGTGTGAGTGCTGAGAGCAACAGATTCTGCAGCTAGGGACACCGGCCCTCGCGGCCAAAAAACGGACCGGCCCACCGGGAATTCTCCCGGTCCTCCCGATTAGCCAATCCAGCCTGCCTCTAAAGGTGCAATTGCGACCAAAATATGTCAAAATAAGATTCATGAGCCCAGAGAAACCTGTGGCCAAATTAAGACTCTAAATCCCCCCCATAGTGGATGTAAACGTATTATTTAGATGAGAAACGGACGTGGAGTGACACTGTGTTTATTCTCATTATATTCTCACATCAAGCGGTACACGGTTTTGTCGTCCAGCACAGGAAAAGAGAGCAACCGAAACAAACACATGAACCAAAATGGTACAAACATACACCATAATAATAACAACCGATTCATAAAGGCGTCTGTAGTGAACACATCAAGATCACGTGCAAACACTGACGTCATTCACACGTTCACTCCTAACACACACACACATCAGCACGTCACATTATGGGACTTTCACCAAGTGGAAAGATGATTCAAGTTCTTATACTGCCATTCAAGCACACCTATAGATTATATATTCATATAGAGCTCATATTTCAGAATTATTGCCCATATCAGAAGTGACTGATGGATAATACTATCAGTAATAACACTGCGAATCGTAGAGCAATTAAAAAGTCATCAATAATGTAAGACTCAGAGTTATAGTGTCTTCATGAATCCTAATAAGAAACGTCCAGATTAAATAAATCAAACATTTGTGCATTGCGACAGTATTTTTATGACCATCAAACACATTTAACCCAAAATTGTCATGACTTACAATCATCTTGTGCATGAGAATGTTAGGATTTGATCAAAATTATAATAACAAATGGCTAAAATTAAATTAATGATGACTAAAAACGTTTCATGAATGTGAAGTTAACGTAAAAAAACAGAGGTACTTGCATATATTTCAGTTTAAAGAGGTTTGGCTGATAACAAAACCCATTTATAGACATAATAAATAAAATACTATGATATATTTCATTTATAACTATATATATATACTTCATATGCTTGATTGCATTACAGTAGAACTCACTGTAAACATGCTTAATGGTCTTAAAAATGCCACATGACTGCATGAATCAGGTAAAAAATTGTTATATATTTGTCTCTGTGTTGAAGCCGGACATGTTCTTCACAGGATTCACCAACCAGGTGCAATGTCAGAACAATCTCAGCCAATCAGAAGACAGATCATGATTTGTGGGCGGAGCTAAATATCAATAAAACAGCTTGACGCACTGTTTGTTGATTGCACCTGGTTAAAAAACGAGTGAAAGTTGAACAGATGGCACAGAAGAGTTGAATAAATCAGCTACCAGCCCTGTATTAAATCATGAAAAATCTTAAAAAACAAGAAAATCGTCACTATGTTGATCCTAAAAGGACATTTATGAAAGCTTGTTTCTGCCACAGATTAAAAAATGTTATCACAAAATGCTGTGTCCCCACAGAATTCAAAGAGAAACGTCAGATTTGAGGGACAAACAAGAAATGTGTGGGGAAAAGTTACAAATACGAGATGCAAACAAGGAATTCTGGAGGGGAAATTTGAAATTATTAAATGTAAACAAGGAATTATGGGCGGGGGGGGGGGGGGGGTCACAATTCTGAAAGGTAAACAAGGAATTATGACGTAAAAAGGACAGAATTATACAATGTTGAAAAAATTGAGGGGAAAAGTTGGAATTATTACACTTAAACAAAGAATTTTGGGGGAAAAAAGATTAGAATTATGAGATTTACACAAGGAATTCTGGGTTAAAAGTTGGAATTCTGAGATTATACAAGGAATTTTGGGAAAAAAAATCTGTAGTAAAAAAGTCAGTTATTGGATGTAAACAAGGAATTATGGGGTAAAGGGTCAGAATTATACAATGTTAAAAAATTGAGGGGAAAAATTGGAATTATTACTCTTAAAAAAGGAATTCTATGGTAAAGGTTGAAATTATAAAATGTTTAAGGAATTCTGAAGGGGGAAAATCTGATTTATAAAATGTAAAAAAGCTATTTGAGGTGAAAAGATTGAATTATGAGATGCAAACAAAGAATTATGGGTGGAAAAGGTTGGAATTGTAACATTTAAACAAGGAATTTTAGGGAAAAGGTCGGAATTATAACATATAAACAGAATTCTGGAGGGAAAAAGTCCTCAGATTCCTCAGATGTAACGACATTTAAGGGGAAAAGTTG